GAGCCCCTGCTGCTGCAGGGTCCCCAGTAGCAAAGATCCAAACACAACAGCAAAGATCCTTACGGCGCACTGGTCTGAAGGGTTTGGTTCCTACACTTTGAATACAGGGACTTCCCTGGGCACGGGCTATCACAGCGTGACACACACCTCCTGCCATCTGGAAACTGCCAGCGCACACACGGTGCCACTTCTCCTCTGCTAGGCAACAGTTAAAGCTCAGCATGCAATTGCTGAGCGAGCTTGTGCTCTGAGCAAGCTGGAAGATGACTTCTGAAAGAAAACGAAGCTGTTGGTTTTTTGAACTACAAAGCCTGAAATGGCTCTGCCTACTTGAGAAATTCCTCTTGCTTTGCATCATCCCTGAGCCTGGCTCCAACACAACGCTCCAACTTCACCACTGCTCTGCGACCCAGAGCTGTAGAATGGGACCCAGGGATGGCCCAGAGCGCTGGGGCAGGTGGGCATGGTGGGGTCACTCTGCAGAGAAGGACAACAGCTCTAAAGGTGGTTCCTGTGAACGGAATGCTGTGACCACAGTAAGCTTCCATAGATGATCCCACCTGCCCAGAGCTGTGGGTTTCCCATCGCTGGAGGCGCCCCAGGCCATGGATGGGTCGTGGGCAGCCTGAGCTGGGGGGCACCCAGCCCATGCAGGATGGGGCTGGGGGGGCTGTGAGGTCCTTTCCAACCCAACCGTGCTGTGATTCCATCATTCTAAGCTCTGCAGTCTGTGTGTTGTGTGATGTGTGGACTCTTTTCAGTGGTGAGTGGAGACAGGACAAGGGGAAACGGCCGGAAACTGCAGCATAGGAAGTTCTGCACCAATGTGCGCAAGAACTTCTTTACAGTGAGGTGACGGAGCACTGGAACAGGCTGCCCAGGGAGGTGGTGGAGTCTCCTTCTCTGGAGATGTTCAAGACCTGCCTGGATGCCGACCTGTGCGACCTGCTGTAGGGAACCTGCTTTGGCAGGGGGATTGGACTCGATGATCTCTGGAGGTCCCTTCCAGCCCCTACAATTCTGTGATTCTGTTATTCTCTGTGTGAGGACCAAGATGACCAATCCAACGCAAAATAAACAAGGCTTCTTAGTTCAGTAACTGCAGGTGCCTGAGTTGCACACACAGGAGTGATGGCGGCACGTGTGAGCAGGCTAAACTTCCAATGAGGTTTCCAATGATATCAAAGTGAAGCACGTGCCCTGTAACAGCCTTGCAAGAGCGGGATGCTGGCCACCACACACAAAACAAGAGTTCCCAGGGTGTATTTAGCACCTCACTGTTCAAATGCGAACTGGAAATAGTTTCTCCTGCTCACTTCTTATTTTCAACCATTCCCCTTTGGGTCTCAGGCTTTATCTCCCCAAGGGATCAGGACCCCAGCCCAACACACATCAGCATGGGCCTACACAAAACAAACAGATGAGAACAGCATTCTGCAAACCCCTCTCCTTGCAAAGATGGTTTTAAAGAATGAAGTTCATTCAGCCAACACTGCGTTTCGTGGCTGAGCACAGACAACCCCTCCCTGGTGGGCGCTCAGGGTGGGCTCCCGCAGCCACACGTGACACAAAAGCACGTTTTGCATCGCCGTGTTTGGCTGCAAACAGCCCAGCGTCACGCAGGAGAGGTTATCGCCTCCTCGTCCCGAAAAGGTCCACGCTCTACACTTTGCGCTCAGTTGCAACACCACTGTAGTTTTTGTAAGGAATAAATATTGACTTTCCTGGACATTGCCTCACAACATGGCGGGACCTTGAGAGCATTTGTCCAAGATAGTTTTTACCCTGGTAATATAACTTTATAACATCGCTTTCATTCCGATTAGTTCAAAAGGCTCTGCGAGCAGGATCTACAAACGTCACCAATTACCTGCTTTCACTGTCAGCCACATGACCGTGCTAAGGCTGCCTCAGTGGCATTTCTTCTCCTGCAAAGGCCTGCTCAAAACTTCTGATTCTAATTTAAATCTGCAGGTTATCAGCTTCACTAAGACTCCGAAAGCCAAGCCTGGAAAACCTTCAACGTTAACGCAGGCTGCTCTGTCAGTTTTGGTTTCCAAGAGTAAAGCACGTGGCTGATGAGCAAATGGCCATCGCATTACAGAGCTCAGACACCGAGCTCACAGCATCTGCATCCACAGCAAGGTGCCCAGAGGCTCTCCTTTCATAGCAAAGAGCAGAAACCAGCATCCATTTCACTGAGAAACACACATGGTGGTGACACCCCAGAGGAATCGCTGGATGGGTGAAATTCAGCTTCCAGCACTACAGACAGACTACAGCCAGCAGGGTCAGTGCTTCTGCTGGGCAACACCTGGAGCTGTATCTGGCTGCAGCAGAAGCCAGCTACGTGAGCAAAGTTTTATAGATTTCCCACAGTAAAAATAACCATGTTTTGGTCAGATGCTCAGTGCCCAACATGTGACTCAAGCAACACACTCAGCTTTATAACATCAATTAAGATAGGTGATAATCTCCATGCAATCGACCGGCCGCATCCAAAATTAACACTGCTGCACACAGAGCGAAGGACCCACGCTTACATAAGCACCGGGGCCTGAAAGCACAGCACGGTGAGAGAGCAGCAGCACAAAGGGGAGGGGAAGGATGGGTAGCAGGAATATCTCTGAAAGAGCAATCCTGCACCGCACGGCTGCCCAGGGAGTTGATGGTCACCGTCCCCAGAGGTGTTCCAGAGCTGTGGGGATGTGGCACTGAGGGATGTGATTCTGGGCATGGTGGGATGGCTTAGGCTTGGATTTGGGGATCTCTTCCAACTGTAATGATTCTGTGCTTCCACGGAAGGCGCAGAGCAAAGCGGTGGACAGCTCGCGTCAAAACCACCCCGTGTGCGTGCAGCCATAAAGCCAGCCACGTTAGTTGGGAGGCACGGAGAGGAAGAGGGGCGAGGAGAAGGGTGGGAGCATGGAAGGATGCAGGTGAAGCACGGCTGCCCCTACCTGGAGCAGCTTTCCCTCGGCGGGAGTGACCTCGGCCACGCTGGCAAACTCCCCCTCCAGCACGATGGGCTCCACCTTCAGTGGGATCACCCTGATGATGGCCTTCTGCGCCGCTGCCCGCTCCGACTCGACGGCTGCTGCCAGTGCCGGCCCGGTGCGGCCGAGCCCTGCCTGCAGAGAAGCCATCAGCAGCCAAGGCCAGAGGACCGCCAGCTGCAGCTGGGGGCCACCGCTCATGCTCCCAGCTGCGGCCGCGTTCCCGGGCCACGCATACCGCTGGGGACGCGCTGCACCCTCGCCCTGCTCCCAGCCGCGGGGCTCTGGGGGGTGCGGGGGGCGCGGGGGGCCCGGGGCTGGGGGGGGGCACGCAGGGCGGGCGGGGGGAAGTTTGGAGCAGACTGCTCACTGCACGGCCGCCCGGCTCCGTGCCATCGCTGCTTCTCTTCCTCGGTGCCACGTGCTCAGAGGCCGCTGGGAGCTCGGGAGCATACTTTGATCAAATATCTCTCTCTATATATAACAATAATAATAAAATAATCCGAAGTTTCTTCCGAAAAAGAATCCTGTTTCCAGTCAGTCCTGCAGAAAGTAAATCCAGGGAGAGTGGCGGAAAAGGCCGAGCAGGTGGCAGGCAGGGGGCCGTTCAGGTGCAGGGGGGGTCCCAGAGCTCAGCCCCGCAGCGTGGGGAGTGGGGAGGGCTCTGCATGGGCGCTGTGTCCCCGTGGCTCCTGTGTGGCTCCCGCTGGGCTCAACGCGCCCATCTCTGGAACCTCCCAGCACGTGCCGGAACTCGGCACGCTGAATGCCGCCTGTGATTACTGGGATCCTTGCTAAGAACCGTGCAGGGGGTGCTTCTTGAATTTGCGGCAGAAAGAAAAGTTTACTACTGCGCCGTCCCCGTCCAACCCGGGGCGATCCCATCCATCCTCATCGCACCAGAAATGCTTCATTCAGAGCAGCCCCGGCTCTCCCCCCGCACTCCCGGCTCAGTCCAACTCCGGCTGCGGGTCCCGGGTCGGTCACAGCACGAAGCTCCCCGCCATAGCTGCCGGGAAACGTCCGAAAAGGCCCCGAACTCTGTCAGCCCTTAAGCGCGGAGCGGGGCAGGTACGGAGCGCAGCGCCGCAGCGTCTCCTGTTGCTCTCACGCCGCGAGTTCCGGGAGCTGCGCGTCCAGCACGGTCCCAACCGAAGGCCCCGTGCAGCACAGAGGCAAATCCCATGGTCCGCCCAGGGGTCACAGCAACGCGCCCTCCGCACCTGGAGGGCCGACACGGGGCGCGCCGCCGGGACGGCAAGGAGCGCGCTCAGAAGGGATTGAAAAATAAAGAATCATCTGCAAACCTGTTGGGCAGCGCAGTATAGCACAGCACAGCACAGCACAGCACAGCACAGCACAGCACAGCGCTGCTGCACCGGGATCCCCAGAACCCCCAGAGTTACTTCCAGCGGTTGAAGCACACGGCGCGCCTGATGCCGCGTGTTCGCGGTCTTCTCTTCCTTCCCTACAGAGCGCGGAGCGTCGTTTAAAGCGGAGATCTTTGCACGACGGGGCGGCGCGAGGCGAAGGTGCGCGGAGGTGCGCGGGGCGGCTTCGGGGCGGAGCGCTCCGCGTGCGGGCAGCGCTGGGGACGGAGCGGCGCCGGAGCCTTTCCGAGGGAGTCCCGCACGGCGGCTCTACGCGCCTTGAGCGGCAGAGCCCGAAGCATCGGCCGCGGTCCCGCGGGGAGCCCGGCCGGGCCGTTCGGGCATCATCGGGAGGCGAACGGATCCCGCGGGGGAGCTCCTCCGGGGCAGCGCCTGCGGCAGCGGAGGGCGGAGGAGCGGCGCGGCCGTCGGAGCCGCCCGGCGGGGCTGCGGGCTGCTACCTGCTGACACAAAGTGAGGGTGGAGCGGAGCCGAGCGCCCGCCCCGCCCCGCCCGGCCCGGCCCCGCTCCCGGGCGCCCCCTCCCGCCGGTCCGCGGGCTCCGGGCTGAGCGCCGCTCCGCACCGCCGCCGTTCCGCCGGGCCATCCGCCGGCTCTGCCCTTCGGCCGCGGCCCTCCCGCTCCCTGCCGTCCGGGAGCCCTCGTCCAGCTGCCGCTGCCGCGGAGGGTTCGGGTCGGGCTGATGTCAGAGGTCTGGAATTCAGCTCTCATTCGGCTCTGACATCGCTGAGAGGTGAATAATGCCGCAGGTCAGAGCCGTAACCTCGGAGCGGGGCTGCGACTGGAAGTGGGTGAAGCGGCCGCGGTGGAGCGCTGCTCGAGGAGAGCGCTGCGAGGTGACCGGGAACGGCGGCCGCTGCTCAGCTGTGCGCAAAGCCCAGCGCTGCTCGCGGGAAGGGGCATCAAGAGAACAGATGAGTGGGGGCTTCCTAAATAGTGCCTGACCAACCTCCGGGGGAGCTCCACGGAAATTCGTGGGTTATGCCAAGAGAACAGGTTCGTTTCTGAAAGTAAGAACGGGTCTGTTGGGCAGCGGGTGCTGATAAAGGCGGAAGTGGGAACTCAGGAAATCAGGGTATCATGATGGAAATTGGGATAGCAGGAAAAGCTTCTCAGAAAGAGTGGTGCTGCGGTGGCACAGCTGCCCAGGGAAGTGTGGGGTCACTGTCCCTGGAGGAGCTCCAGAGTCGTGGGGACGTGGCACACAGCGGGCACGGTGAGATGGGTTGGACTCGGGGATCTCAGAGGTCTGTTCCAACCTTAATGATTCTATGAAACACAAAGGATTTTTTCCAACCACGGTCTGTCCTTTGTAACTCAGAACACACACGGAAAATACAGATGCAACATCCATAGTTCAGTTTCAAAGTTTAATTCATTGCAGATTGCTGCAGCCACGCCGTTTGAGCAGGGCTATAAAAGAGCATTAAGTGCCAAGTCTTCTAGGGGCAAACAGGAGGAAGAAGGGTAAGTTGTGAAGTTCCCTGTGTGCTGTGCAGGAATTAAAGAAGTAGCAGCTGCAGTCTGATAAGGCTGAAGTCATTTAAGCACCATCTCCTTACAGCCCGAACCCACGAGGGAAGTGATGGAATCCATTTGGGAAGCAGGACTTGGATGCATCCACCTCACCCCTCACTATTCTCACCGACTAGAGTTGCACTGCACGGATGTAATATACGATACAGGAGAACGAATCTGAGGACAACCAGCATAGAAATGTTCCTGCCAGCCTTGACCTAAAAGCATCCCCAGACTGTATTTGTTTGGACGGCTGGTGAATAATTAAAGGCTTTGCCTCGGCTTGTCCCACCACTCAGCACTCACTTGGGACATCCTGCCCACGGCCGGAGGCTGCGCGAGGTCCTGCAGGGTAGAGCTGGGGTGGTCTTGGCCACTTCTCCCTGCTCCTCTCATGTGTGTTTTGTTCAGGACTGGCTCTAATTAATTTTTAAAGAATATGAGCATGGATGAACCAGCTAAATTTATGTTCTAAGCACTCTTTCATGTACGTTTCCCTGACAGTATAAATAAAGTCTGTGCCCCCTTCATCCTTCAAACAATATTTTAACACAAATGCATAGCTATTCAAAACTTAAAACTGCTATTAAATGCGATTGTATTTATAGTGATAAGAATGTACCTAAGACCTATTAAAGTACTAACACAACACATAACTTACCATCACAGAGAGCATCAGAACCAAAAAGAAGTTACTAAAACAGAAGACTTCTCCTTCAGTGCAGGAGATGAGCAGCTGCTGTGTGTAATGGATACCCACTGGGAGGGCACGCTGCTGAACAGAGCGCTGCTTTAGGAGGAAGAGCATTTCCTGGGTAATCGCTCAGAAAATTAGCTCATCTCAACTACAGCAGCTCTCCCCAGCCCCTGACCCGTTCAGACCTGGAATCCTGTGACTTCCCTGCGCCTTTGTTTCATACACAATTCACACAATTCCCACTGCAGGGTCGCAGTGCGACTTCAAGCAGAGATGGTGAGAGCGGCGCAGGGCGCGCTGTGGCTTCCAGCAACGAGCAACAGGAAGATTCTGAGCACGGCACGAAGCACAGCTTGTTTCCCAGTGAGAAAGGTTCAGACAAAGCTCTCAAGGTTGTTCCAGCTTACGGGGAGTTCAAGTCTGAGAAGATGAGCAGCTAATAATCAGTTCATATTAAAAGTTCTGACCGCTCGATGCTTCGTAACTTGTCAGGTAGAAAACGTCATGAAAGAGGTGTAAAAAAAAAACCACGGGGTGACCAATATCCAACGGAGTGAAAGTTGTTACAAAATAGTGCCTTTTTTGTCGGTGTTCGTTTTTTTCCAACAGCTGAAACGATGCAAAGTGCTGCCGTGTGCACAGCGCTGCAGGACGAGAGAACCCAGCTGGCAGCTGCTGCACGTTTTCACATACTTGTCACCCACTTCTCACTCTCTTATTTCTTCCTTTGGAAAGTGCTCCTGCTTGCAAGCGACATCCACCAGCAGATGGAGATCTAGGAAGAAAAGGAAATAACGAGTAAACATCAGTCTGCAAGTTTTGCTCAGCGTCACACGTAGGGATTGCAGTTCTAGCATGTAACGTGGAACACGGCCTGAGAGGCTGCAACAGCAGGATTGGAGATCTACAGGAACAGGAATTGTTCTCAGTTTGCAAAACTCTGTGTAAAACAAAGAAGAAAAAATAAAAGTGATTTACATGCCCATTCATGCCATGGTAGAATGGAAACATTTCCAGTGTATGGAAGATAAAACTCAGCGCCTTACAGCTCAAGGAAAAGAACAACAGCATGAAGTCACAACAGGACCACTACCCTCGTGAACTTCCATCTCACAACAGCTGCATTCTTGTCTTAGGAAAAGAATTCCAGCCCCCTTGTTCTGTGCTACAAAGTACCTGTGGAAAAGGCAGCAGCTCTGTGCTTCCTCCAAAGCAGACTGCTGGGAGCAAACCCTGAAGAGCTGCCTGGATGGAGAAGGAAGGCAGCTGGTAACAGCACAACTCCAAACTGCTTAAGAAACAGCATCCAAGAACCACTCATCCAAACCAGACTGGCAGTTGAGCTGGAGCAAGAAGCTGCAGTTCAGACTCCTGAGAGCACCTCCTGTTCATCCTGCTCCAGGACATGCTGCAGTGCCCCTGGGCCAGGCCTGGCCCTGCACAAACACCTCTGCATGATTTCACCTCGTCTTACTAGGAATGCTGGATGAGTGTAAGATTATTTTTCTCTGGAAGGTGCAGGAAATAATTCAGATGAACATGATAGCATGATAGCATGGGAGACCTTTGCTGAATGATGATTTGCCCTTAGCAACTGCACTTACAAATCTATCTGCAGCAAATGAGAGGGAATGCATAGTGGCACAGCTGTAGTGGCAAGGCTGGTGGTAAATGTCCAGGGCACCTTGCAGCACAACAGGGATGGAGTCATCAGAGCCAGTGGCATCTCAGTACTACGTCTGAGCTCCTGTGCAAAAACAGATTGGAGGAAGTTGCCAGACTGTATGAAGAAAAGGATCAGATAAGTCACCAAAAATAATACTTAAAAAAAAAATAGCCGTAGAGGAAGAGAGCTTTTTCTTAAATGCATCCGGATGCTTCAATTCAGAAGTAACCCCACCTGCTCCATTCTGAGACTGCTATTTCCAGAAAAAAAGGCTGCAAACAAAAACCTCTCCAGTGAGAATTTGATCCTTCTTATGTGCACTCTTAGAAGAGGAAACACAAAGCGCAGACACTAGCTCCACTGCAGAGTCACTGGGAGACTCTTGTGCACCTGTGGAGAGCAACAGGAGACAGGAGGGGTGCAGTTTCTATCAGTCTCTGTCAGTCGTTTGTGAAGGCCAGAAGGACACCTGCTGCAGGTATAGATGCTGCAGACAAATTTATTCCACACTAAGCTGACTCACCTATCCCAAAAACCCCAGTGTATAGATGAGCTGAACAAGCAGGCAGTCAAAACAAGGAGAGACTCGCTATCAGCACCTTTATAGCCCTGTGCTAAGGTTGAGCCAGGGGGGCTGAAAAATGTGGTCCCCGAAAGGTGTGAGCCACCCCTCAGAGCTCCATAAACCAATAATAAACCTGCCAGGTACTGCAGAGCCGTGCCAACACTCCATGAAAGAGTAGGAAGGGAACAGATGACACAGCCCACTCAGGATGATGGATCTGCTGCAGCTTCTGACTCTCTGAAGGAGAATTCAAAAGCAGTTCTGCTCTTAACAAAGGAGATGAGGTCCTGCTGTTGGACTGTGATGTGCAAAGACAACCAGCATATGAGGAGTAAGGATACGCTTGGAGGAAACACATTTAAAACATTTTGAAACAAAAAAAAGAGCAGGGTACTTCACCCTCTGTGTAATTACCCTGTGTTAATTACTTTCACTTTCATAGAACAATAAAGCCTGAACAGCTTTGAGAATTGACTAGAGAATTTGATGGAAGAAAAGCTCACAGAGGTCTTTTTTTTACTTAATAGCACAAAGATGTTTTTGGAGGCAGGACACAGGATAAGAGACACTCTTCCTCTTCACCCCTGTTTGACAGACATTCCTACCTCACCGTGTGATACCTTGAACTTGGTGTCAGCACACAGCAGAGACAAGGGAACAATGTCACAAACCTACTGAAATAGATGGAACGAGATGGAATGTTGTGCAGCAGGATGCGTGTCAAACGGTGGGCTCAGGCAGCACACAAATGGGCACCCAAAGGAAAAGAGGAAAACTGCAGGACTTTCACTCAAAGGACATGTCTGAAGATAAGAGGAAGCAGAGACAGCTGCTTTAAAACAGTTTTGGATCACACACGAAAGACAGCAGTCACAATCCAGTAATACAGAAGGAATTGCTTACCCCTTTCCAAGGACTCCAAAGGAGGTGATCTCCAAGTAGAGATTCCTCCTTTGAGACTGCCAGCCCATAAATGAGGTAGGGAGGGGTGCCCTACCTGTGCTCCCAGGGCTGGCTGTGCCCCTTCACCAGGTGCTCAACCACTGTTCAGGCCGTGACCTCACGCCTCCCACACAGACATGTTGTGAAGAACCAGTTGGGAATGGTCACTGTGCCCATTTTTAGCTTAGAAAGGTAAAAGAGGATGTGTCCAAAGACACACAGAAGAAAGGAGGTACAGACAGACAAACGCAGAAGCTGACAGAAGTCAGCTCACACTTGAACACGTCTCCTCCAGGCCTGCAGGTGGAACACAGGAGATGGGCACTGCATCTCCAAAGCCATGATCACGTGCCTTATTTACTCCGGGACAACTGGACCCTGATGGTGTTTGGTTCACGTGTGCTGTCTGTCTCCATCCTCTGTCCTACCAGCCCTGAAAGGTACAACAGTGGAGATGCACCCCCGATGACTATCAAGTTTCCCAGAGTGCTACTATGCTAATCACTGCTAATTATCCAATTAGCATAGCAATGTTTCATTTCTGTAGAACACTCCCATGAAACACTTTCCAAACACTTTCCAAAACGTTCCTGCAACTTCACAACTGTTAAGTAAATTTGTTCTTCTTAATCTCTGCAATTAAGTATAGTATATAAGTACAACACAAGTATAATATATTTTTCTTAAATAAACTTTTGCTGTAGATACAAAAACTAGAAGCACACCGGCTGTCTGTGCTATCAGTAAGGGGGCCAGAACTCTCAGTTCTGCATTTTAAACAAAAGTTCAAGGTGGCATCCAATTCATTCATTCATTTATTTTATAGCTTCCAGATAAAAAGACATTATTCCTCACTTACACATTTGAAACTGATGGGCATGTGAGCTGAATTATTAACTAGCATAACTGGAACCTGGAAACCACCCTTTGAAGTGAGGAATGGCTCTACAGCCTCTTTGATGATCAGCTGTGAGGGAAATGGCTTCCCCAACACCTGGATGCCACACCAACTTTTCCTCCAGGACGGATCTGAAGTACCCTTGGTGTCCTCTCATGCCTCTCTGTCGTGAGGATGTCGAGGTTTTCCTTTGGTTATTAGATTTGGTGAACTGTTTGGCCTCAGCTGCTCTCCTTCTTGTTTCTCTCATATCTGTCAGCAGACACAGCAGCATTCCAGAACACAATTTTTTGTCAGCTTCTACACTTCATGAGTTCGTTGGTTTTTGGTTTTGTGTATGTGTGGCTTTTTTTCCCCCCCTGCTACTTCAGTTGTCATTTCGTTACCCAGTTCATCCCTGTGGCACTGTCATGCTCCAGCACACATCTCTATGGGCTTCATCTCAATACTGTGACATCTGTGTTCCTCAGACAACCCCCAGAACAGCAGGTTTCATCTACTCATAATTTGTACTCTTTCCCACATGAGCAATTGGTGTGTCCCTCAAAGGGTGTCAGTAAGTACACTCAGAGGTTGTACAGAAGCAGTATTTGAACTGAAGGTACAAAGAAATACATTGCAGATAAGAGCTAACCTGGTCTGACTTCCCCTTTCTGTAATGGCCAGTTTCAGAGCAGCTCTATTGCTAATCTCTAAAAAAAATAAATAGCATTTCTTCTTACCTGGGGACTTGTACTCCTGTGAACTGTTTCTCTTCTCTCTGTTTCTGGCTTTTGCAGATGAAACAGTGCTTTCTACAGGTTTGTTCTCAGGCCCAATTTCTGGAGTGAGGCATCCCACCTCTTGTGTCTCCGACCTCAGGAACGGACACTTAACACCAGCATCCACCTGAAAAAAACACAGCAAGGGAAGCAAAGATGACTCAATGGTTTCTTTTAATCACTTCAACCGAACAAATAAATATTTTTCTCCACTCCAAAAGGACATCTAACAAGAGCTGAACAGCACCTCATGGACTGTATAAGCATTTTTAGCTCAGAGTCAAGGTTGCCAGGTCCAAAGCCAAGCTCTTACAAAATGTCTTATTAAGCAAAACATGAAGTCAGAAAGCCAGAACATGAAAAGTGCTTGTACTCACAGTGTCAGCTTCGCCCTGTCACCACACCAGGCACAACAAGTGAAGCAGAAGAAACCCAGGTGCACTCACTGGTACCAACAGCTGCAGTGCTAATGACAGGTGTACCTGGACAGCCCAGCAGAGCTGTGTGATGCAAAACTGGGCAGGTGAGCAGTGCCCTCTGCCTGGAAATCTCACCCCACCCCATTGAATTGGTAAGACATTGCATTATAATGTTGTTGCTTGCTTTTTGGAGCCCTCTGCTGCTGCTCCACATGTATTTTGCAGGCAACCATTTCATGAACTTGAGTATTTCTTTAACAATGTGGCAAAATGTGTAGCTTTAATAAAAAGGAAGAAAAAGCCAAGCAACCAAGCTATGATTCTGTCCCAACAAGGAAGTAAAAATAAGCACAATTAAGCACCTGGAATTCACCTTCAGACAGAAAGATGTTCTCACTATCATCTGTTACACAGCACTGAGCTCTTCTGCAAATATCCTACCAATCAACATCATAAGATGAGAGATTGTTCAGAGCCTGCAGTGTTTCCTTCTATGAAGGCAAAAAAAAGCTTCCGAAAGCTGGTATGTGTGTTAGCAGAGGGCAAAAGGTCACCACAGGCAGTAATAAGACATCAGCAGTTCTAGAAATCACTCTCTCCCTCTTGAGTCTGCCATTGCTCAGCATTAAACATACAGCAGGCAACATGTATGCAGATTAACAGAGATACAGACAGATTTGCTGTCGAAGCTGCACCTCAGTTTTCCAAAAGGACTGTGCAAACACAGCATCTGAAATGCCCAGGCAGACAGAGCTCCCCCTGCAAGCCCATGGACTCGCTGGCCGTTCACAGTCACTTCTGGGCAGAATTTGCTCTTTGAAATGTGTTGTCTGTATGTACTGCATTAGTAGCACTCATTAGCTAATAGGAAAACCGTCTGGATGGCTGTGCCTTTTTGTCTGCCATCGGAACACAGCTTCTCACTAAGAGTAAAAGCAAAGAGAAGGAGGGAGGCCTGTAGTTCATTATCTCCACCAGACAGAACGCGAGTTCAGTCTCGAGACAGAGTCTTACAAACAGGGAAGGCTGGCAGGGCGCAGAGCAGGTACAGACATCAGCAGCTGCGGGTCACACTTTCCACACATGACCGGAGCCCTTCCATTCCTGTTGACTTCTCTGTCATGAAGCCTTCTAGGGAAAGGAGCATGCAGCGTTCCCTTTTCTACTGCCTATGTAGGATCTTACCCACCAACCCTTCCAACAGTCTTTTGTGAAACTGGCAATAATACAGTTTCCATCCTAACAGCATCAGTCTAGCCCACATAAATCTGGTTCCAAAGCTTCCTCATTTCTTTTATTTTTGTAAGTGAACGTGCTTCTCATTATGGCTTTGCCACATCTGCAGACTCCTCACTCGGGCCCAGCACTGCTGCAGCTCCATCCCGAATGCTGCTTGGCAGAGAATCAAACAAAGCTACCAAAGCTGACAGATGTGAAAGTTTTGCCTTTTCACTTCACTTATTGAAAAAATGCCAAATTGTTTGCAAGAAAACCCACCCTGCTGTGCATCAGTGGTTACGTGACTCCAGTGCCCAGCTGGAACCACAGTGAGAAACGTTAATAAGATCAGCCCCTGTCTCACACAAATGGGGTTTGCTGGATTTACCTTCCCCAAAGCAAGCAGGAGTTTCAGCCTTTGGCCAGGGATACTACAGAGGAGACAACACAGGAGGGACATTCCCCTTGAATGATAGACGTGCTTCATTTCCACTTTAAGAAGAAAGCATTTCTTGTGAGTAGATTGAAATATATCCATCTGAGGCCAAAATGTGTAAAAACAAGGACACCTGTCCTTCACTGAGGTGAAGATAACAATGCTGAACCTGGACTGTTGAATGCACTAAGACCTTTCATGCAAAGAATTGCTCTTTAATTTGCTGTTCTTTAAGCCAAGCAGCAGCACAAAGCAGGTGAACAGCTTTCAGTGGAGAGGACAAGGCACAACAGCTGCCCCAAAACTAACCAAATGATAAGAAATATTGAGAAAGAAATAGAGAACAAAATATCAAACACCTCTGCATCCATTGTTTTCCTGCAGCTTCAATGTGGCGTGCAGCCACGGTCTCCTCATTTTAGAAAGGATTTAATAGAAACAGAAGAGGCTGAAAGCAAACTCAGAGATCCATGGAGCAGCTGCCATGCAGAGGATGCTACCGGAGGGAGTCTGGAGAGCAGACTGCTGGGAGGCTGCAACAGACTTCCCAAATCACAACTGCGTGGAGAAAGAGGCTGGAGGGAGGTGACTGATGAAGCTCTTCATCAGCACACAGTGAGCAAAGCATCTCTTTGGTCAGAGCTACAATTCACGTGGCTTCAAGGGCTGACTTCAGCCCAGGGAAGAGAAACTGAACGTCAGGTACGCAGCATCATCCCAATTTCCCACTGGAAATACAGGGAGCAGTGCCCTGTTCTGGGTGCAGGTTGTTCTTGCTCTTCCCTCAGCATCAGGTTACAGCTATTGTCTTCAGGCCTGACACCGGCAATCAGGCTTTGATCCGACCCAGCAGAGCTCTTCTGATGTTCGTTTATTAGCACCAGAGGAATTTGCTCCTCCTCTGCTGCTACACAGAGGAATAAAACAGCCTTACCTGCATGGGCAGTATTGTACCATCAGCTTGCCTTGAATTCCACGACACTGTGCTACTGAGAGCTGTGGAAGCCTTCCAGATTCAGGGATAAGGAAGAGAGCAAATAATGTAGGAGCCCAATGGATGTACAAGCATAGGAATCTCCTTTGGAGAGTTCTGCACCTGCCATGATCCCAGGCCCTGGAAATACCGCTGGAGGAGAGGCAGCTGTGGGGTCAGGCTAACCCTGCCTCCGGACTGGCAAGGGGAGACAAGTAAGAAGTAGAATACTCCTAACAAAAAGAGCAAAGCTGTCAAACAAGAGACCTAATAGTGCCCAAATTTCTCTTCAGGACAGAATAATCCCCAGCTATTTAACCAGTTGACTTCCAGAAAAACAGACTGTGGCCAGCACCAGCGTTCTCATGCAGGAATAACGGAATAAAAAAACCCCACATCTTCCTCCTCCAAACAACGCCATGGCTCATGCATTGAATTCATGGAATCATAACATTGTTAGAGTTGTAAGGGACCTTGCGCAATTTGTTCTGGAGCAGCTCGTTTTCCTGCCGGAGCTGCCCAATCTCAGACCGAATTCCCCGTTCTGTGTTGGTCAAAGAACTGATCTGGCTATGCAGCTCCTGCTCGATGTGCCTGCTTGCTTGCAGGTCAGCCTTTAACTTTTTAATGTCTTGTTCCAACCTCACCAACGCATGGGGGTTGGACTTGATGATCTCTGGAGGTCCCTTCCAACCCCTACAATTCTGTGATTCTGTGACCTTTAAAGGCGTCTAGTCCAACTTCTCTGCAGCAAACAGGGACACCCACACTCAGTGCTCAGTGCCCGTCCAGCCTGGGGAAGGACTTCTCCAAGGATGGGGCACCACCTCTCTGGGCAACCTGTTCCAGTCCTCCATTCCTAACAAGAAAGCCAGGCCCACAA